ACATACAATACAACTGTCGAATTAAAAATCTTTGAGTGTATTTTGACGACTGCAGGTCAAGATTTCCTTATTTCCGGCTGATTTATTTTCCCTTTGTAAATCCGTTTCATTGTTTATTATATTTTGTTGTTTAAGTCTGGACAGTTTCTCTTTTTATAATTTAGATGGTGGTTAAATTGTTTTTATCTGGACGGTATGTTTGGTCTTACCAAACTTAGTGATCTCCAATCACTTTCTCCCATTCTCTTTTTTCCTCTTTCCAAATCCAGAGCTAATGTTCGACCCACATCTGTATATTCAGATTGATTGGATTGTTTTGGTTTTTAACTTTAAGATTAAATTATATTATTTATAACTTAGTAACTTTCAAAAATATTACATTAAAGGTTTTTGGTGCTAAATGAAGGTGACGCCAGATAGGTGGTATGTATTTTATAATATAATTGTTTGTAATTTACTGTTTCTCAGGCCAAATGATATTGTTTTATGAAATAACGTTGGCCAACCCTCTCTTTTCTTTACCCTAATGCTAGCCTCTAACCATGCCCAGGTTAAAATAATATTCATTATTATAGTATTATCAGAAACATTTAATTACACTACCTTCGGGATAACAGAACTATAAAAAAGGAAAATTGGCCCATTGCTGGAGTGGTTTATAAGAACTGTGTTCATGCATTTTACAAAAATCATTAATGTGTATCCTATTCCGGTATCATGTCAAAAGCTTCCGAGTTCTACTAATTTCCTGATAATTTTCGACCGAGTTTTAAAAAAAAGAAGGTTTTTCTCCATTTAGATAAGTATTAACATTGCATTTCAGAAACTTTACTTGTTAATACATTTTTGGAAGTGAGTTAATACATTTTTAAAAAGAATGATCCTTCAGGGAATGAGGCAATGATTTCCATGTTTGTTTTTCGTAATTTGTATTGAATCAATTGTGCCAAAAACTCTGTCAATGTTCAATATGCTTAACTCTCCACCCCCATCCCTGAACAGAATCGTTCAACAGATAGTAACGGATCAGATATACCTTTCAGCCGATAGACATTCTCAGTTGAAGGTATAAAAACAAACCCGGTTTGAAGAAAAAATGGTGTTTTAAATTCAGTTTGGATACTAATTAGGGAGCTTGGGCAATGGTAGTGGTTCTTTGGCAGAATTTTAGAGTGGAGTGACGGGATTCTTTAAAGGTTGAAAACGTTGGTTGAACTCCACAGTTCAATTCCTTATGCCCAGATTGATTAAAAAGTAATGTGCAAATCGAAAAAACCTAGGGAATGAAATTATAGCAGTAGCAGTCAATGATCTTATACTTTTGAGAAGAAGGTTTGAGTCGATAGCACTGAACTAGAGAACTAGGAAGGTACAATAAGCAAGAAAGCTGCAGTGACTGGGTGCACAAATCCTGTTCCTAGTATCCTCATCACCATCACACATGTGAAAATTAGTAGTTTGTTTTCGAGTTGTCAAGTTGTTTGAGATTTTGTATGGTTCTATTCTTTTGAGTAGCGTGTGGGCGTCCCAAGTAAGTTTTTTACGATGTAAATCCAAAATAGCGGACGATATTGACAGCTAGGAAAGGAACACAGGTGTCGTAGATTGGAAGAGAGGTGAAGCGTTAAGGTTATTCATTGGGATTTCGTTAAGCCTGGTCCTTCATTTCTTTAACCATTCTTTCAAACAAGAGAGATCGTCCTGGAAATTTCTGAAGGTCAATAGTATGTCTGGATTTGCTGAACGGAGGCGGTATTGCCAGCATATGTGCAGTATCGGTGTTGTCTGCAGTCTGCACTGTGTACTGAATACAGGATGGAACTTAGGATGCCGCCTTGCGGAACACCAGCTTAGTCATCGTGTATGGAGTAGAAGGTTGGTCTCATGAATCAGACATAAATAATTTTCTTAAATTGTTCAATGACGGTAAAATAATAACAGGTAGGTAGTGATCATCACGAACGAAAAATATTTCGAACAATCACGTTTGTAATTCGACAGTTAGCAAATTGTAATGTTCTTCTAATACGTCTAATTACTGATTAAGCTTTATTTTCGGAATTAATTTATCTAGTCAAACCTTCCGAATTTCAAAAAGTGTAGGCATATAATTAACATCCGATAACGAGCGGTATTATAAGCTTAAAGCGCTTATCGTAAAACACATGAAGGTACGAAAGCCGTTTTATCTTTACGAGGAGCTAATGTATGAAAGGACATGACAGCTGATGTCACTTACAGCAGTGTGTACATTCCCTTGGATCCCCATCCCTCTGGCTGAAGCCGTGGGCAAACTTTCTGATTTATCACCAAAATTAGACCAACTCCCTTCACCCTATGGAAACATTGTTTCACATTTAGCAAGCCTTTTGGGTAAAAATAGTATTTAATATTAATCCATTTACGTTTTCGTAGCCAATTGACCAAGTTACATCATGTGTAATCCGTGATTTTTTGGAGTGCAAAAAATGAATATCGACTTGGTTTCTCCAAATCGAATCACATTTTTTGGAGAAAAAAAAATAAAAAGTTTATCTTTCTAAATGTCTTTCTAAATGTTCTAAAAATCGCTAAAATAGTGATAAATTTGAAAATCCACCGATCCACTGGAAACGTTGAAGGGGATTAGAACATTACAAATTACACTCAATGACATAAAGTTGATCTCCGAAAATCAATCAACGGGAGATATAAAATACAGCTTTTTGGACTTTTTTATTTTGACATCATCAGACAATTGACAAAAGTCTTGCTTTCTAAGAGTCGTCATAACATTGAATTTCGGTAAAATATCTGTGCATTTTTGTGATCAACCCTGGTCATCGGGGATAGATAAATTGCCACTGCCTAATCCAGCCCATTTTCTTTTTCGTTTGCTATGAAAATTAGCATCTAAGGTTTTTTAGGGTGTTCAAATCAAATCCATCAATCAAACCAAATTTGGCTTTTCCAAATGCAATTTTTTACCCTATTTTACTAAAACCGTCTTTTTATTGTTAAAACTGTTTATTTATCTTATTTTGTTTACTACGGTCCAGCATATTTTCTTATTTTTCATTAAAAACAAATAAACTCACCTATAATAAACTACAACTACTTCACAACAGTGAAAGAAAATCACAATAAAAAATTTTATAAAGTAACTTCAAAATTATTTTTCGGCCCCTAGAGTGTATTAACAAGAAATGTTTCTAATATTCTCCACCTAGTATCACAAAAAAAATTTTAATTGATTTCAATGTTTCCACGTCCGTAGCGTTTTCTTGAGATGTTATTTAGCATATATTTATATACATATTTATTTAAATAAAAAATAAATTAAGTACCTACTTGTCGGATGTAGCCGTAGTTAATCTTTTAAACTGAACCCATTGGGTAAATTTAGTTAATTATATAAAAAAGCTACATTTTACAAATCTTTTTTTTTTTTAGTGGAAAGTGGATTTTTTTACTAATCAAGTAATGATTTACTTTTCTTTTATTCTTTTCATTGGTACATTTCATAACAATCCCCCTTCTCCTTTATTTTCTTTTATTTTTTATTAGAAAGAGCTAAATTTTATTTTCTGTAAACCATATTGTTTAGTGACCTTAATATTAATTATTCTTATCATGCAAGGTTTTTCATCTCAACCAAAATAAGACGAATAATTAATTGGTTTATTTTCTGTTTTAATATTAGTTTAGTTCATGTTAAAGTAAAATGTTTGGTTACTAAAATTATTTTTATGTTCTTAACTTTTGTCCTTTGCCCTGACGAATTCCATTATAAATCATTTCATGAACAATTAATAATACAATATTTTGTCTATACGACCCGTCGGAACACTGAAGTACTCCACACAAATATACCGTATCGTTTGAATTTAGTCTGAGTAAATTAATTTTTAAATTATAATTGATAAGTTTTATGTACATGTATCTTCTTCCTCAAAGAATATCCATTAACTTCTGTACCTCCCCCTAATTTTTTTTGGGGTATGTTTTTGTATAAAAACCCCTAGATAAGTAAATTTTGATTTTTGGTCTAGCCGATCAAACTGAACCAACTTAACTATTTCAAACGGCAAAATATTTATAAATGTAAATTTTTTGAAAGGATTTTCGATGTTGAATTCAATAGTGCAAACAGTTATTAATTTACAGTAACCAATCTCAAGTTATTCGCAAAAACCGTTTCCGAATGTTATTTTTCGGATAAACGAAATAATCTCCAACTTTTTCAACCGATCACGTATTTGTAACGATGAACTAGATTATCAAACTGCTGGATACAAGAAGTCTTTTCAGAGGATCTTCGGAAGAGGTCAANAATTGTATATATATATATTTATTTAAGAAACGCACTGTGATCACATGTATCTGAAAAATTAAAAAAAGGAGGATTTTATTGGTTTTTTAGACTTACATGAGATGCTGAGCCCCAAAAAACATAATGTACTTCTGTGCCCAAAACACCATGTTGTTTAATTTCCTATTAAGGTTTTAAAGCCCTGATGATGACAGTATAAAACTGTCGAAAGCTCGGCTAAAACCGTAAGGAAGTTTTCTCCGCTTTGACCTCTTCCGAAGATTCTCTGAAAAGAATCTCGTATTTATTTGTTTTTTGTTTTTTCATTTTAATTGATAGTAAATTACTTGCTCAACAATTTCGTCACATAAGATCGATTATCAGGACTGTAACACTGTAATTATTGGTCCACTTTTCCCACCAGCAGAATCATCAACTGCCCAGACATTTCGGTACATTAAGTACCTGACGGTTCTCTGAAGATTATTCACCGGAAATATTAACTGCGGCAGATGAATAATGTGCTTTAACACTTGACTCTACTGTTTTGGAGAAATGTTTGGATCTTAAAATCTTATATATAATTTCGAAAGTTGGTAGTAAAACTTTATCTTTAACAAGACGGAACTTGAATACATGATATTCTTATATTTAGTATGTACTTTTTTTTCACATATTTAAATGATAATAAGACTCAATTGCGTTGCAGGTTAGTTGGATAAGGAGAACGGATTACCATTTGCTAACCGTTGGTTTAGCGACGTATGCAGGTGATGACAGGTTCCAAACAAAACATCCCTTCAATTCTGATGTAAGTAGTTTAATGAATAGTAAACTTCATACTGCATTGTAATTTCCTTTTTCCTGAAAGCTGCAATTACTTCTGCTAACAAATGACATATTATCGTCCTTATAAAACTAATGAGGACAAAGGCATACCAAGACTTGGCAGAAGAATGCAACGCGTATAGTAAAATTACCTTGTACAGTGTAAATGGTTTAACAAAACAAATATGGTAAAAATTTATTAGCATTAAAATTTGTGTAGAAAAAATTTCAAATAAAATAAATGTTTCGACTCCTATCTTTGCTATGAATATTATAAAAGAGTGGAAATGTGAAGTTCGGTCAAGCCTATAATATCCAGCGTAACCAATTATTCTAATCAAAAGCCCTCAGACAACCTGTCAAAGCTCCGTACTACGTCACTAACATTACTTTTGTCAACGAACTGAAACGATCATTTTTTTACATAACTTCCACAGTAACTCTCGATCCCATCCTAACCCTACGTCCCCATCCTGAGAACATCAACGTCACAACGTTCGCATCGAGACCTCCTTGCCTCGTAATATTTCATATTGCACAACTAAAGACCTTTAAAGCATCATTCCAACACATTTTTATCTTTCGATGAAAAACACTTGCGAAAATCTAATAAACCAGAATGTTGCTCTGCCTTCCGATGCAACGACATCTGGTTAATTTATTGAGGCTCTGTTTGATCACTTGGAAGAAATTAAACAAGTCGAATAATCTTCAAATGCCGGTTGCAAACAACATAAGTAAAAATGGAAATAGAATATATTTTCGTTTTTTAAATTATTATGTGCAATAAAATATTCTTCAATTTGATGGAGGTTTTATTTAGAAGAATTACACAAAATTTAATTAATCAATTTGATTACTGTTACTATTTTTCACTTTACAATGATTAAAATCCTATCAGTTGCCATTTACACCTCCGTTTATGTTTATTGACTGCGAACTGAAAGATAAACTGTTGATTAACATCTCGTAATAAAAATGCCTTGTTACTTATATTCCAAAAAATATCCTATACGTGGTAAAAGCTGGAGAGTAGATTAATGGAAACGTGTTAAATTTCTGGACAAGACTCGGTAGAATTTCACCGGACGTTGATGACGGGAAAACAGATTGACGGAAGACCCCGTCACATGAAGCTGACTGATAATGATGACGGTGACTTACACGTTATTGATGATTAGCACATTGTTAACGATAATGTTATGTAATAATATTTCAACAGGCATAATTTAGACGTATTACACATACAAAAAGAGAAAAGACTATCGAAAAAAGAGCTCATAGAGACGATTTGAAGGTAGTAATAAATCTATTGTACCTCAAACNATAAGTTCATGTTTGTTTATATGGTACAGGAATATTACAAGAGGACTACACAGGGAATGTAATCCGTTTTTTATCTAACGATCTTATATCAAAAGAAAATATTCAAATCTTTCACCAATTTAGCAAAACCACTTTAAAAGAGAAAAACAAGTATTTCGTGTATAAATGTGTGGTATTAAGTGACCGTTAATTAATGATTATTTATAGGGGTCTCGTGTGATGTAGGTTTAGAAAAACATTTTCTTTTTCGTGCCAACCTTTCCATCTTTATTGAAATCATCTTCAGGGCTCAAAGTGTTTGTTTTCCGTGTAGATGTGTCATTGTTGTCTGTCGTGTATCTCAACACACACACATTTTAATTTTTTTTTCAATTCATCGTAGTCTTATTCTTCTACAATTTATCTCTCTTTTCCCTAATAATCGCCGTCTATAATAACCCTGGCAAACTCGGCCGTAGCTGCGCCAACGTCATATAGTTAAAAAAACTATTAAACCTTCATTTTATTTTTACCTTTCATTCGTTTATCGTCCTTAATAATTAACTTCCTTTCCAATATTGAATGCCGAATCACAAATCGAATCCAGAAAATCCCCATTCTCGACTTCCTTTGAGTTAAATAAAACCACCTATGATCAAAGAAATTTTTCTAGATTACAGCGTCCCCCAACCTTTCGTTATGCGTTCTTTCTCATTGTTTTAATAATAATTTTAATAAGAGCAGATAAGACGAAAAACCTTTAAAAATTTTTGCGTACCAAATTGTTCGTGCTTTTCTGTATGTAATGGTCTTTTTAAAAAACAATCAGAGCACTGACAGTATTTTATTTTTTTTTTATCGAATTTATCTTTGGAATATGCGAATATAAAAAGTATTTATTTTGGCTTTTCATATTATTTTAATATCTCTTCAAAATATTTTTCTTTTAACACTATTTGAATTTCCTAGCAATATTATCAGCATAAAAACAGTGTGTTTTATTTATTATTTGTTGAGAGCGGTTTTCGAAACCATCTAGCACGATATGAAGGCCTTCAGGTATCTTGAATACTTTTTCCAACTGTTTGACTTTGGTGCTCAATGTTCGTAAATTTTGGGTAAAGTCTTGGGTAAAGATTACTGCAGTTTTTATTCGTTTCACGTCTAGATTTTTTGAGAGCTACAAAACAGAATTTACACGGTTTCCAACTTTTGGGACCTTCTTTGAAAAACCACGTTTTCATGGATAAAATTGCAATTTTCTGAAAATTTTATCAACCTCTTTTGATGATAAATTATTGGAATTATTATATAGATGTTTAGCAATAATTGTGGCATAGGAATTTTAAAAATAATACACAGTCTATGAAAAAAAAGTCACAATCATTTCAAGACCATTTTTTTTCAAAATTTAAAATATTATATTGAAATCAAAACTAATACTTTTACCGAAATTGTGTTAACAACAGCTGTTTTTTAACCACACTAACAAAAACGTACACCTAAAATAGAATTCAAACTGATCATTGAATTTGATTAAAGTGCACATGTGATAGGGTTTTATTCCATGTGGATATGGAATTGGTCATTTCTGCCTATAGGCTAAACATATAAAAAAACGTTTGAATTTAAAATTTAATTATCTTTTTATTTCAGCAGTGCACATTGGAACAAATCTCGTGACGGGTTGGAAATATTCTTAAATGTAAAACATCGAAAAATTGAGATGGAATGATCATTGGATCATCAGTTCCTGTTGATAATTTGTTTCACCATTTCTTTCCGCTGTAATTTTTTTTGATGTTTATAAACAAAAAAAGGAGTTTTGGAATGAGAAAAAATTCGAAAAGTACATTTCGCTGTTCGGTGTTCGGGTCTGACGAATTAACAGACTTGACTTTGTTATCAACATTATATTATGAACAATTAAATCACGGCTTTTCATTTTGAATCCAAAGGAAGATAAAGGAGATGAGAGGGAATGATCTAAAAGAGACAATTCCATCTTGTCTGAACGTTGCTCAGTCAATTAAGACTTTGGAATTCGAAACAGTATGTTAAGTCTGATTCTTGATTTACTCATAATAACTCAACATAATCAACAATTACACAAAGTCACACTAAATAAGGGAAAACATAGGTGCAATTTTTTAATGTAATTTCCGCCGTCATTTAAATACTTAATAAATTGTCTACTACGTTCTCAGATTTTTAATTTAAGGAGTTTTATGAGACAACCATACCATAGATCTCAAAATGATTTTGAATTTTAAATAAACTTTTCCCTTTTGTACTACAACGTTGAAATTCTGGGAGTTCTCAACTGGCAACAATGTTGGTATTGTGTTTAAACTAAACTTGTACAACGCTGGCTACAAATAAATTGCCATAGAACAAACGGCTCCTCCTCCTTGCTTTTATCATTTTAAACCCATCGTTTGATTAACAACTATCGTTTAATAAATGTTTTTTAATTAATTTTTTTTTATTACATGTATTTGATATTTACAACTACAAATATTGTGTGGTATTTAGTGACCGTTAGTCAATGATTATTCGGAGATCGTGAGATGCGGTCTGGTGGGACGTAGGTTTTAGAAAAACATTTTCCTTATCGTGCCAACGTTTCGATCTTTAGTGACATCATCTTCAGGGCTGTAAGTGTTTGTTTTCCGTGTAGATGTGTCATTCTCGTGTGCAGTGTTGAGAGTGCCCAACCGGTTCTCTTTAATGAAACAGGACTTCACACTAGATGGACGGGTCGACCTAGGTCTACAAACCAGAGCGACGATAGATTTGTCCATCATCAGGCTCTTCGAAACCACATCATTACGGGAAATGCGTTAAGAAATCGTAAAGACAATCCGAAATGTTTCAATTTCCACCAGGACTGTAGATGTAGATGTAGATGTAATATTTCAGGGTATGGTATACTGCGCCCTTTAAGAGCTATTGTATCCCCTGTGCTCTGCCTAAAGCACATCGGTGAGTCCTATTTCATCAAGAAACTTGATTAATAGGCCCGGTTTCAGTGGTTGTAATTCTTATATGGTCACATTGTACATCCCAAAACACTTCCTCCTGCGGGCTAGTGTAGCTCCGCAGTTTGTTAGTAAGTGTGTTGGTGTCTCTTCTGCTTCTTTGCAGAATCTACATGTGCCATCTTGGATTGTTCCAATTTTCTTTAGATGTCCATTTAATCTACAGTGTTCTGTCAGGAATCCTGTTAGGATTCGCAGTCTATTCCTGCTTCCTTTGACACATTCTGTGATTTCTTTCTTGCCAAAGTTGGTTAGAAGATTCTTGGATTGTCTATGTCCAATAAGTAAATTCCAAAGTTCGCTCATTTTCTTTTTGTCCTTCTGTCTGAGATATTCGTTAATAGTGTGTATTCCTATTCCACAGAAGGGTTCGGGTCCTATTAGCGGTGTGGCAGCCCCTTTTCTTGCAAGGGTGTCCGCTTTCTCGTTGCCTTCTACTCCCATGTGTCCTGGGACCCAGCAGAGGCTACCAGGACTGTAAGAAGAAGGCTCAATGAAAATAATCTCAGGGCTCGGCACGCGTCTCAAAAAATGGCCAGGCGTCATTTCGTACGTGAACATGTTCATTGGACATTGGAAGATTTGGGACGAGTTCTCTTTACAGACGAGGTGAGAGTTGGCCTCAAATCTTCTTATG